TCCCCCCCCCCCCTGTGGTTGCTACAACTTTGGTAACAGTGGTGGGATGGTAAAGACCATGCCGAAAATTGGTGAACCATCTGTACCGAGAGAAGAAAAGATCGACACCAACCTGCGTATGTGGGAGCCAAAGAACCGGTAATACATACTGCTGCCCCTAGTGGACGAAGCCGTGTACGACCAGATTCACGAAGAAGTTCCTGAGGGCGTCTCGAACGAAAACTTTGACATAATACAGTCCATCCTAGTCCCTCGCCGGCGAAAAAAGCAAGACCGAGACGCCTTCCGCTATCGCACACAACGACCCGATGAGACGGCCCAACGATTCGCAGCAAAACTACGGAAATTAGCTGCGCTGGCATCCCCCCAATGTGAGGCTGCATCTTGAGAACTGATGTTTCTGTATTAATTCGCCGACGGCGTACGTTCAGTAGCTGTCCGGAACTCGTTCGCTGAACGATCACCCGAATCGCTAAAAGGAACGATTGATCTTGCCACCTCGCTGGAGGAACCACCCGTGGCTACCAACGTCCCGCCTAACCTGAACGCCCCAACCAATTCACCGTCCGATCTCAGCCAACGACCTAGACAACATGCTGGACGCCGACGTCAGCCGCGGGATCGACGTGTACTGCCCTGGGTTGCTCGGGAGAACGCAGAGAACCCCAGTTCAAGTGAGTCACGCCAAGATGCTTATTTACCCTTTGTTTTTCCATGCCTTTTCCATGTCTCATTACCTACAATCATAGGAAGTACTAACGGTGATAATGGTAGAATGTTGGCGGATACGGGGTCAGCAGTAACCCTAGTCCGAGACGCTCCTGCTATCCCCCGGCAACGCATACCACCAGGACGGCAACTCTGGGCAGCGAACAACACAAAGATAATAACATTAGGCTCCACCGTAGTAACCTTTCAAATAGGCACGCAGACTGACCCACGAAGCGATGGTGGTACGCGACCTACCGTGGGACGTCATCCTAGAGATCGATTTCCTCACCCGCCACGCGTGCATCGTAAGCACGACACAGAGCCCATTGTACATCAACGGCGAACGTGTACCATACGACCTAACGACCCCTAAAGCCCGTAAAAGAATGATCGGGTGCACTATCAAGACACGACGTAAACAAGATAAAATAGACCAACTCCTGTCCGCCGTGGGACCGGCATCTCAGTTGGAACGAGACCAGTTACGAAAGGTCGTCCAGAAAAACCTAGACTTCTTTGCATGGTCTAAAGCAGAATTGGGGTGCACCGACATAGTCACCCACCGAATCAACACGGGCAGTGCCACCCCGATTAAAGAGACACCCCGCCGGGTCCCAATGCACTACAGAAAACAGGTAACCGAATTGATCACCGAAATGCTAGTCAACAAAGTCATCCAGCCATCAACGTCACCATGGGCAGCACCTGTGGTATTAGTGAAAAAGAAGGATGGGTCCTTGAGGTTCTACGTTGACTACCACCGGTTGAACAACATAACCAAAAAAACCGTTCCCATTGCCACACATCGACGAAATGCTTGAAAACGTATCGGGCTCCTAGCACTTCTCCACGTTGGACATCGCATTGGGATATTGGCAGGTTGAAGTACATCCCAAAGACCGAGAAAAGATGGCGTTTGTCGTCCCCAGCGGTCCGTCTAGTACCACACCTCGCTGAACATCTCCGATAGAGCCTTTTTTATCAACTCTTCTATCTTGATTCCGAGGACTGCCGCAGACAGTTTCAGTCGCGGCATGGTTACGGGTTTGATAGGTGTCACTCAAGACTTTGCCTGCTGAATGTCTCTAAACTTCAGCCNATATTCTTCGATTCATTCTCACCCAATTCCCTCGCCCCCCCCCCCTCTGTAGTATAAGCTAACCAGATTGGTGTCCACTTTCGCAACCAATTCATAAGAGCACACGGATTCAATTTTAAAGCTGGATCTGTGGAATTCAAAACTCTGGTGCACACTCTCATGAACATTTTATCGTCTTACCGCGCTGCAACTTCTGCTTATGGTCTGACGTCTATATTCCCTCCGGTACCCTATTATTTTAGTAAAACGTGCTAGGTGTGCACTTATTTTTGATATTGTTCCGTCGCATGCTCCGTTT